ATTGAAAAAAGATAATGGGAGCTTCTACTTTCATTCTTTTATTCTCTTTTTCCTTTGCCATCATCAAGAATTGCTTCCCAGTCTTGCCTTTCCTTCCTGTCTAACAACAAGGAAAATCGCACTTCTCTACGAAAAGTATCGAATAATGAGACTATATTTCTTTTCTATCCCTTTTAATGAACATAGATCGAATTAAATTGAACAAAACTAAACTCCTATTTGAGCCACATTAAATTTTCATTCTCATTCTTCTACTTATTTTTAACCACACATTTTTCAATAAAATAATATTTTCCATCACATCAATAACTTTTTCTTTTTTTTTTCAACCATACATTCTCCATCAATCTACCATTCCAAAATATATTCTTCCAAAATAATGTGGTTCAAACACACCCTAAGAAAAAATTCACATAAGATATTGTCCGTTCTTATGCTTGTCACGTAATCTAAATATATATTCAGCTATCCTTAAAAGTAATATGTAGATACATGTATCTTTTGGATCCAGAAGAGGGGGAGGGGCACTCAAGGTGTGTATTAAATTAAAAACTATTCATAGATGTGGGAAAATATTTATAATGGAATATAGAGTGTAAGACAAATAAATAAAAAGTGAGTTACCACTATCTTAGGGAAGAAAACTTTGTGCTGCACTTTACTTGGATTCAAAGACGAGACGGAAAGTCTTTCGACAAGCTTTTGTGCTGCACTTTGCACTCTACCTTGTGCAAAGACAGGGACTACAAAATTATATATCGTGTGATTTCATCCCAATTAAAGATTTCACACGTCTCGTGATGTATATCTAAAAGTCTTCGTCTTAGTTGAATTATTGGTCGAGGGACTGTTCAAATTGATCAAACACAACTGGAAAATCGCCATCTCATAGATCTCCTCATGTACATAGTCATAAACATTCTTTGCGAAGGCATTAAGTCGAGGACAGAGAGGCTTAGTACTGAAGTCAAACGCATATGCTGCTAATTGAGCTCGTATTTTCCATCACATCAATAACTTTTCATTCTTTTTCAACTACATATTCTCCATCACATTAACAGTAAAAATGCATTCTTACATTCAAAATGTGTACCAAATAGGGGCTCCATCGATGGCTTGTTGGAATCTATTAACAAATTGTTCATCATGTTCTCCACTAAATTCCAAAACTTTGACCTTAGGGCTCTTGAAATGGTTGATGATGCCTCTTTTAAATAAAAACTTCATCCCAATTTCCAAACGACCTCTTAACAAAGCTTGTAGAAACAGCCTATGAATTTCAAG